ATGTATTCTCCTTTCCGATATCCAACGTCTCATTATGTTCCTTAAAGGCTCGCTTTTCCCTGTCTTCAGTACAGACATGGGCTCCAAAGGACAGGAATTTCGACTCCTGGGTTTTTTACAAGCACCTATGCCAAATGCTTGATGATTCCGCAAGCCAGGACATCATTGATCGCTTCAATATGTATGTCGTCTCTGTCTGGCTTATATGATTAGTTAACCCTGCTTTCATAGTGCTGTATTCCCCAGTGTGACACCTAAACGGCGTCACAATGATGCCGACAATGACGATGAGCTAGATGACTTCAAGCAGCTACAGACGCAATGTGCTGCCGTCGCAACCACCCCTGGCGAAAGCGCTCCTAAGTAGCATGCCTGTATAGCCTAGATTATAATGATATTTGTTCTACTGCTTACATTGGGGTGAAGAATGAGCGACCAAGACAACAAGCCAAATTGTTTTTGTGTATTGTTAAACAGGCATACCAGCTTTGAGTTTGTGAATTCATGCTAGGGCTATTGTAACTACTGAGCTTCACTAAATTATATACAGTAGTATACAAGTAGCTATATTGAATCCCAAATTTGCATGCATTGTCCACTTGAAATGCATTGCCCTCCGCTACAAACAACGACCTTAATTATATTCACATTTGAATATCTACATTACATATGCCTGTTTATGGTGAATTCATACCTTTGTGGTAGTTTGTGTGCAATGGTCGTCGCAGACAATCGGTTCCCCTTTTTCCTGATAATTCTCAGCAGTTGGCTGGGGCTAACCTTTACCTGGTCCAGAGGCATGATATTCAGAAGGATGTCGAACCCTGGGTTCAAGACACCTTTTTCTTCACCTTTTGACATGGTAGTAGTGTAGATAAGTAGAGTAGATTTTGTCTTGTATCCCAGTCTTTGGATTCCATCATCTGTACAATATCTTTTCACAGTACTTCTTGCTTGCCTTCACTGGCCAACTGGTATCCTCTGATTTGGTGTTGTTTCTGACAAAGGATAACATAAAAAACCCCAAGTTACAGATACCTTGAAAGGTCACATTACCCCAATCCAACTGCTTGTTTATGTCTAATTTATATTGGGAATTTTGTGCAAAAACGGGGGCCCAAAGCAGGGATTTCCGCATACATGACTTGGAAATTACCTTATTTGGTGATTTCCAAGTCACATGACCCAAAATCAGGGTCGTCACAATTGGCTCCAGTGATTTGGGCCTGTATCTGCCACAATCAAGTCCAGCTTCGGGCTGCTTTTTTTCACCAAAACCCTGATGTGATTGGATTCAAAAAGTGCAAATATATTAAACAAAAAATTATATATAATACAAAATCATAGGTAAACATGTTGAGTAATGTGCCACAGGTCCAACAGTGGGCTCTTAATCAATATCTGACAAGCTTATTGGACTAAATGACATATCACATTTCAGCTGTTTTACCCTTGCAATTAGGTCTAAAATAAAGGGTGGACTGGGCAATGGTTCAGAGTTAGACACTGCATTTAACAAAATCTGAATAATCTTTATATGCCCATTAATGAAGGCTACTTGGAGTGCAGTACTACAGTTATAACCTTGTCTTTCATGCACATTGGCCCCTGCATTGAGCAGAGCAAGAACGATATCTATATGACCATTTCTGGATGCAGCCTTGAGTGCACTGTCATTAGCAGTTTTCACACCATTTCCAATACCATTTACAATAGCCCCAGCTTTGAGAAGAATATGAACAACTTCTATATGCCCACCTCTTGAGGCTGCTTGAAGTGCATTACTTTGATGATGTCCAAGGGCATTCACATCAGCTCCTGCACAAAGAAGAATTGTGACAATTTCTTCATTCCCTCTACTAGATGCTATTTCAAGGGCAGAGCCAAAAAAACCTCCTGTGTTATTTATATTGGCTCCTGCCTTAAGCAGAACTTGGACAATAGCTGTATGTCCATTGTCTACTGCTGCCTGAAGTGGACTGCCATAAACATTGCTAGGTTCATTAACATTGGCCCCTGCATTCAGAAGATGATGAACAATCTCTATGTGCCCATGATGGGAAGCCTCCTCCAGTGCAAAACAACGATTGCCTTTAGTAGTACAGACATTAGCCCCTGCCTTGATAAGAATGTCCACAATTTCAGTTCTCCCCTTACTGGCAGCAGCATAAAGTGGAGTGTAATGGCCACCATTTACATCAGCCCCTGCCTCAAGAAGTATATGAACAATTTCCTTGTGCCCAGAACCAGATGCCTGCTGTAGTGCAGTACTGCTTGTTCCTTCTAGACTATTCACTTGAGCTCCTGCTTTAAGAAGGATTTTTACAATGTCTGTGTGTCCTTGGAGGCAGGCTTCCTCTAGTGCACTTGCCCTACTACAGAAAAGCCAAAATTCCATATCTATATATCCAGTAGGGAGGTCCATATGAGGATCTATATTGGCCCCAGCATTAAGGAGGATATTGACAACCTCTTTGTGTCCCCTAGAGCAGGCTATCTGCAATGCAGTACCATGAGCTCCTCTATAGTCATTTACATCAGCCCCTGCTTTTAGAAGCATTCTAACAACTTTGATATGACTGTTTTTTGAGGCTTCACTCAATGCAGGTCCCCATGAGCTAACTCTTGCTCTCAGATAGTGGTTTAAATCCTGATTGTGCTGCAGGAGTAGTTTGATGATCTTTGAATGACCATTTAAGGCAGCACCTATTAACTCATACTGAGCTATATTATTCTGATCATATAATAAGTGCTTTGTCAAAACTTCAAAGTTACTGCTGGCTGCAATCTCCAAGCTAGTGTACCCTTGCCAACTTGAACTAGTAGGACACTCCCACTTCATAATATGGTATGATATATCTGTACCACTGATTTCTCTTAAAAAACCCACCAAAGGTTCTGTCAACTGTGTCTCTGGCTGACCTGCTACATGTAACAAAATTTCATTATGATAACCAGGTGTTGGTTTATATTGCAGAGCAGTCCAGCAGTCCAAGAGAGTCTGTGTCAGATACACTTGAAAGTTTGGGAGCTCCACAGAAAACAGCTTTTGCAGGAATTCTTGGGTTGTGTAGTGCACTAGATGCAAAAGGTTGTTTTTGTGGTCCTGTACAATCAGTCCAGCTGACCATGCAATGATATGGTCTATTTTCACAAATTTCTTAGGCATGACAGCTCCATATCTCATAACTGCAAGAACCATCTGCAACTCATCTGTCTGTAATGGCCGCTTGGCATGACATATCCAAGCCAGACTTTTTTATGGCAATATCTTTGAATGCTGCTTTCTGCAATACTATCCGCTGCCAAGTCTGTTCATATGCATCCTGTAGTGTAGTGGGAAGGCTGTCAAGTGCACTCTCCACAGTTGGAGAATCAACTGCTGAGAACAAGATTTCAAGCTGGAGTCGGACTAATAAAAACCTATTTTATTGTCATTATTATCAAGCATATAGGCCTTTCCTCCACTTACATTCCCTGAGCTTTGGATATCAGCTTGCTGACTACTTCATTATATAGTGCTGGATTCTCATTGAGAATATCTGTCACATGCTGATGATTTTCAAGTTGTGTAACTATAAAAGCTTTCAGATCACCCTCATTTATCAGAATCTCGAATGGGAGGAAGGTGAATTCACTCCATTTTTTCTCAAAAGATAAGTGAGTGATATGAGTTCTGCAAGTGACTAATAAGTTGAGAGTTTTGCTCAGGTGAAGAAGACAAGTCATCAGATGGTGTTGTTTATCCTCTGGATACTCATCCAGAGCATCAATCATAATGTAAACTTTGTCTAACTTTGCAGCAATTCCAGCAAACAATTTCTGAATCTCCTCTAGAGTTGGCTTTGTTCCCTGCCTCCAGTGAGTATCATACTAGTATAGTGTCTTGGCTGAACCCATGTCTTGATCATTCCCAATTAGCTGCCTCCAAAGAGCTCCAAGGATATTCTCAGGAGTTTGAATCTCAATTTCTTTATAGTTCAGATAGGCATAGGCTACCCCTACAGATTCATCTTGCATTTCCAGAAAGTGGTCTATGACTTTGGACCTGAATAACATCAATAATCTTGATCTGACATAATATAAACTGACATTAATACTGTTTTGCCTACACCAGCTGAACTCAAATTTGTGAGATATTTATTGCTCATAAATTTATTTTGACTTACGGATGCCAGTGCACCAGAAAACATTCCCCTGAGTAGATTTCCATTTGTAGAACTGATCAGTTTGGAGAAGCCATTCTCCACTGTTCTTAGCACGGCCCTTCCTTATTTCCTGATGACGAAGTGCAAAGTTCACAGGTGAGAGCCACTTTGCAATTTTGAGAAACTCTTCTTCTTCTCGGTTGTCTGATGTTTCAAATAATGAGTTATAAATAACTATATTAAGCTTTAAAATTTCCCTTACCTTGTGCTGACCCTGAACTATTTACAATCCTAGTATATTGAAGCATATATAAGTAGAATATTTCAAACCTCACTGGTTTCTCCACACACCTATAGTTATCTCCATAGAAGTTGAGTTCAGCACCTGTTGCAGCTCCTCCAACTCCCCCCTGTTGTGTGGCATGACCACCATCACCTCCTTTACCACCTAGGCAGATCACATCAAAGTCCGAGGAGTACAACTATGGCTTACCACCAGCATATATGTAATGTGTACCTGCCATCTTGACTGAGTTGAGGATTGGGAGAGGGATGGGCAAAGGGGTGGTTGTGGGCGAAGGCAAGAAAGAGTCGAGGCTCCGGAGCTCCACGCTGCAGTCGTGTGTCAGCCGATAATCAATCTGCGTGGGTATCGAATCGGTTCTTCCAGTTGCCAGCATCTGATAGCGAGGAGATGTTGCAGTCTAAGTACACAGTAGGTATCGGAGGGACAATTCACTGATAATCGAGCTCTTGCGCCTGTGCGTGCTGGGCAATGAGTAAATGATGGGACGACGCCGGTAAGTAGTTTCCACGGTCACATACCGGTGACGTTACCGTCAACAACTTGCCATGACACTCGACCGTGTCGAATGCGGCGACCCCCCTCCCGCCCGAGCTGCTTTCGATCATCTTCCGGCATGTGCGGGGACCACACCGAGCACACTTGCGCCTCGCCTGCCGGGCGAGTTGGAGCGGGAAATCTGTGGGCTTGCAGGTTGGGCAGATGAGCAGACAATGCTGCAACTGTCGATTGTCGCGCGCCGATTTTACGAATGGTGTGTTTGCTTCCAGCGGATGGTGTAGTCGTTGACGGCGCCTTCACAGGGTTAGACCACTGCGCCTCCGTGTCGTGTCGCTGTGGAGTAACCAAGAGCTCGCGCACTTCCTCAAGCTGTTTCCCCCGTCTGACCCAAAGGAAGTGGCCAGCCCGGCGAGCGCATTACCCAGGCCCGACTCCAATTACATCCGTCATCTTGCGCTGTCCTGCTCAATGGAGCGCTCGACTGTCGCGCACATCCTAAGCGTGACAAAGAACCTGACCAATCTGGCGCTCTGGACGGGAAGCACGTCCCCCCCGCTGCTCCCTATGCTGCAGCCTCTGACACAGCTAAGACGCCTCTCTGTCAACCTCGCCGAGCTTCTCTGGGAGGATGGGAACGACACTTCAGTCCCGAGCGCAGCAAAGCTCGCGCCGCTGGCGCAACTCACGCACCTACACGTCACGATCCCCGCATTCAGCCTGATGTCATCGAATCTTATTCCTGTGTTCGCGGCGCTCCCCGCGCTGACGCATCTCGCTTTATCGGATATGCCTCAGGCGGAGTTTCTGCAATGGGTGCTGGTACCGGGCGGCGCAAAGTTAACTTTGCGCGTAGTGGTTGTGGTATGGACGTTCGCGGCCGCCGAGGAAGATGTGGAGGATTTCGACGACGCCGCGGCCCAGTGCGAATCAGAGTTGTCAGCGGACCTCCCGCGGTTCTGTGTTTTGTATTGTACCGACCTTCAGAGCGACTGGCAGAGTGGCGCATGGGGGGATAGCGTTAATATCTGGACAAGAGCCGAAGCGCGCTTGAAATGGCGGGCCACGGAGCGGCAGAAAAAGCTGGTACGTCCGAGCATCCTGTCGGTCCAAACTCAGGCTCACAATATCTTTTTATGCTTCAGGCAACTGGGGAGAGGAAAGCCTTACCATCTCAGTGATTACTCAACACACAAGCATTCTACACAGTGATATCCAAGTCAACTTCTTGAGTATATCTCTTTTGTATCTCATTCTGCGTCCGATAATAGTTTGAATTTGAAATTTCACTACGAATGGCCTCGGGTTCAAGCTTCAAACGTTCAAGTTCTGCTAACTCCGTGGCTAAAGTTTGTCCTCTGGAATTGGAAGGGACTGGCACGCAGTGTCTATGTACATCTAATGAGTCACCGTAGCAAGTCGGCCTCCGGCGCTCTCATTACTAATATTCGATTACTGTTGCGCAGGTCGGTGATGACCAAGGGTGGAGAGCGAGAGGCGAAACCAAAGCGAAACCGAAATAACCTGACAACGGAGTAAACAGCTTCGGCCAGGTCACGTTTTGTTTCCAAATTTGTAAGTGACCCGGCCGTGACCGGCTGTCTTTCGGACTCCCATCTACGCCTGGTCAAACGTCAAGTGGAGTGCACTGGCCGGCCGCAGACCATGGCTTCCGGCCCCCTGTCGGAACCTCTTCTCCCCCAAGAGCTGCTGAATCTTGTCCTCTACTTCGCTGGTATACCTACCCTCAAGGCATGCGCGCTGGCAGGCACCCAACTTCGCGAACCGAGCCAGCGCCTGCTATTCGCACACTTCACCCTCGCCGTGGACATCGACAGCAAGCCGCGGCTGTCCGCTCTGCTCGACGCGCTCGCCGGGCCGCCGTCGGTAGCGCGCCACGTCCGCGAACTTGAATTCCGCATATCGCGCGCGGTCATCTTGGACCTGGTCCATGCACCAGGGTCCGAGTCGCCCGAGTTCGAGATCGGCGCCATTCTGGAGTTGATGGATGGCGTGCGGACGCTCACGCTCGACATGGCCTCCACGGTCCCGTCGGCGATGCTCCCCGTCGCGCTCCGAGATGCCCTGGTCATGCTGGTCTGTCGGTCGAATGTCGCAAAGCTTAGGCTCCAGTGCGTGCCGTTCGCGGACCTACTCTTCCTTGTTTCTGGCGCCAAGGGTTTACGCGAGCTGGAGCTCTCCGGAGTGCTGATTGCCACCGACTCGGACACGGACACGACAGCGGACGGCAATCATGATCCCGGTGCGGGTGGCAGCCAACGGCGTGCAGTATCCTTCCCTCCGATGCCCTCGCTGGCGCGGCTCTCGGTGGACAACATCCACGGCATCGTCCTCGCCCGCGCACTCGTCTTCCTCGCCGACATCACCCTGCGCTATCTGCATGTGACCTTCCAGAGCGGCGTGGAGGCGCGCAACATCCAGGACTTTCTCGCGAGTCGTCAAGTCCCAGCGGAACTGGCGCACCTTCGGCTCACGTGTACCCACTGGCAAGGGCTCCTGCCTATTTATCCGGATATCAGCCGGCTGAGCGCGCTGACGACCTTCGAGGCGGACTTGCGCCTCCCGTCGCAGTACATCATTACCACGCGCGCCGACGCTACGGACTACGTGGCGTGGCTTGCGCACGTGCTGCAGACCGCGACCGGGTGTCTGCAGGTGGAGAACATCCTTCTCAACGTCCAGCTGCAGACGTCGCACGAGGCGGACTTATTCTTCGTGCGCCGTCTTGAGCCGCTTGACCTCCTCATCGGTCGGGCTTTCCCACATCTGCGTGCCGTCGTAGTGGCTTTCCAACCAACATTTAACGCGGCTGTCAACCCCCGCAGGGAGTCCGCTGTGGAGTCCTAGCGCACGCTGGCAAATGCGCACGGAGGTAGAAGCACGAACGGCACTCCCGATGCTGAGTGCGAAGGAGCTGGTGAAGATTGAGATGCCGTGCTAAAACTATTGCAACTCTGTCCGGTGAATTGGAATATGCAGACACGGACGTGATTATTGAGACCGGTCCAAATCCCATGACTCCGCTCGGAGGTCCGAGATCAAAGAAGACTGATAGATGAGTGACATAGCCTTCTCAGATGGTATAAGTATGGCTCGTTTGGCATGGACCTTGTGCTACTCTCCGCCCATCAGCTCAAGGTTTGTGAGTGTTATGATCTATCAAAAATCCGTAATAAATTAAAAATAGCACAAATTGACCAAATATGCAACCAGAGAATTCAAATATGGTTGGACCTGTGGAAATAGTATGAGCACCAACTACAGCCATAAACAACAACTGACTGCATTCCCAGGGCAGAGCAGACTCTCCACCCGTATCTCTAGATGATGAAATCTTACAAATCCGACAAATTCTACAAAAATCACCTGATGCCACAGAGTATCAAGCAGATCTGGGGCAGCTGCTCTGGGCACGCTTTGAGCAGAATGGAAGTGCTGATGATCTCAAGGAGGCTATTATGCTCCATGAAGAACTTCTCACAAGGGATACAGAAATACCTCATGTAGAACTGATGCAGAATCTTGCAGCCATGATCCAGACACAGTTTGAGCTCTATGGTCAGCCTGAAGCTCTTGATAGGATGATTACTCTGGGCAGGGATCTACTGCTCTCAACTGAAGATCCTGCCTCTGCACTGCCATTTCTAGCATTGGCATTGCAGAAGCGCTTCCGTCTCATGCATCAGCCAGAGGATCTCAAAGAGGCTGTGGAAGCCTACAAGAAAGCTGTGACACTTTGTACTGCAGCAAACCCTCAATATGAAGGGGCCCTAAGTGGACTAGCCAATGCCTTGATGGACAGCTTCCAATTTGCAGGCCAGATCCAGCAGCTCACAGAAGCTATTGAAATCTATAGGAAGCTGTTAATCCTCCAACCATCAGCTCATCCAAGCCACAATAGGACACTAAGCAATTATTCTGTTGCTCTGCTGACTCGTTTTCAGCAGACTAGCCACAAAGAAGATATTGACCAGGCTATCACATTGCAGCAAGAGATCTGTGCTGCTGTTCCTGCATCTGATCCCCAGCATGCTGTGTCAACAGAGGTTCTGGCTATCATGCTGCAGGACAGGTTTGAAATGTTCCATATGGAAGAGGATATCAAGGCAGTTATCACCCATTATAGGAAGCAGTTGAGCAGCTCCTTAAACAAAAGTGCTCAGCAAATACAATACTATAACAGTCTTGGAAGGGCACTCAAGCTAGAATTTGACCACTTTGGGAATACAGACAATCTAGCAGATGCTCTGGCTGCACATGATCAAGCATTATCACTCTGCTCTACTACTCACCCAGCATATACAGACACTCTCATCAGTATGGGGATCTGCCTGCGTGCACAGTTTCTGCAGTCAGGCGATATTTCACAAATCAAGAAGGCCATCTCATACTATCAGGAAGTTATATCTCTGGCAAAGGAAGGTGATGCTATGTGGATGAGAGCACTTGGATATCTGGCAAATGCATTAGCAGACAGATTTGATCAACAGGGAAGTGTTGAAGATATCGATGAAGCCATAGCCCTGCATACAAAGATACTGAAGCTTGATCCCAAACCAGACTCTGCTAAAGCTGCTGTAATGAGTAATCTGGCAACAGCTATTGGAACTCGATTCCAACATACTGGAAATCCTGAACATCTGAATGAGGAGATCTCTTTGCATCGCCAGGCTCTCCAGCTGCAGATACTGCCAAATGAACAGGCTCATGCCTATAACAATCTGGGAAATGCCTTGTGGAGTCAGTTTCAGAGATCTGGGGACTTGAAAGTGTTGAATGAGGCAGTAACTAGTCATCAAGCAGCTCTCAAATTGAGGCCTGAAGGCCATTCTGAACATTTGACCTCATTGAATAACCTTGCTGTTGCCCTGTGGACTCGCTATGAGAGGATAGGAGATATCAAAGACTTGAGATTGGCAATTGTCAACTATCAGAATATTCTAAAAGTCTTACCTGAAGATCATCCAAGCCAAATTCAAACTATGAATAATCTGGCAAATGCATTGACTGACCAATATCATAAACATGGCAATCCAGCAGACATCAAGAAGGCTATTACTCTTTACCGCAAAATTATTAAGGTGCTTGGCACCAACTCACACCCACAGTATGCTGCAACACTAAATGGCCTTGCTTTAGCCCTGCAGAGTCAGTTTCAAATTGCTCACGATAATCAAGATCTAGATGAATCTATCAATCTTCATAAAGCAGCACTTGATCTTAGATCTGGGTTACATCCTCAGAGAGCACAATCATTAGTCAACCTTGCAAATGCATATCTGGACAAGTTCCACCAACAAGCCAACCCTGCTATCATGGATATCATTGTTAATCTCCAGCAGGAGAGCCTTGACCTGAGACCATTGCCTCATGCCAATCATCTGTCTTCATTGACAAGTCTAGCAAACTCTCTGTGGACAAGATTTACACAACTAGGAAACTTTGCTGACATTGATAAGGCAATTGAGCTGCATAGGCAAGCTTTGACTCTCTGTGAAAACTCAAGCCCTTCATATACAATATATCTCAATAGTTTAGCTATTGCAATCTGGACCAGATTTAAAGAGCAACAAAATCTTAGTGATATTCTGGAAGCAATCTCCCTTCTCAGAGAAGCATTAGTACAGCATTCTAATAGCAGTCCAGAGAAAAGCATGCTCTTGAATAATCTGGCAGTGATTATCAGGTCTCAAGATCCTATACAGGATAAGGATATACAGGAGGCAATTGATTTACATAGAAAAGCACTTACTCTGTCTTCACCTCCACATGAGCAGCATAATGCATCTCTCATTGGGCTGGCAAATGCATTGTGGGAAAATTTCAGACATAATAATCATTCTGGGGATATTGATGAAGCTATCAAGCTTTTATATGAAGCTCTCACTTATCTCCCTCCACAGCATTCCCAACATAGTATATGTCTCAATAGCTTGGCAATTACTCTGGGAGCCAGATTTGAGAAAGTTTCTCAAATGAATAAAGATATTGATGAGGCTATTGAAATACATCAAAGAGCATTGAGGCTTAGTGTACCACCTAACCCATATCGTCACCAGTCTCTTCATAATCTTGCAATTTCTCTGGATATGAGGAATGATTCAAATGACAAGGATTCTATTATTAAACTGCTACATGAGGCAGCTATGTATCCATATGCCTCCTTATCTGCCAGGCTAGCTTCCTGTCTTCTTTGGACAAACTTCTCAAGAAAGACACAACATGAATCAGCACTTGAAGCCTGCAAGCTGGCTATTGAGCTACTTCCTCAGGTTGCATCTTTGGATCTTGATCTGAAGTCTCGCTTGAACAAATTGTCAAGAAAACAGACACTAGCATTTTCTAATAATGCTGCTAGTATAGCATTGGAAAAGAAACAGATCAATCTTGCTATTGAGTTCCTAGAGGCTACTCGTTCAACCTTTTGGTCCCAAGCACTTATGCTCCGCACACCTCTGAGTAAGTTAGCCTCTCTAGATCCTCAACTTTATAAAAGTCTGCATGATATTGCTTATGAGCTTGAGAAATCATCATTTAGAGACTCTTCATGGATTGAAGGAATGAGTCAATCTCAAAGGATCTCCATAGATGCTGAAGCTCTGAGATCAAGAGAGTTGAATAAGATTCATGCAGAACTTGTTGCCAAGGTCCAACACATTCCAGGGCTTGAAGCATTTTTGAAACCTCAGAAGATTGAAACACTCTTGAGCTGTGCTAGGAAAGGTCCAGTTGTTGTCCTTCTGGCAACTGATTCTAATAGTACTGCCTTAATAATCACTCCTGAGAGAAAAGTCCAGCAAATCATATTATCAAGCTGGAGCCATAAGCACCTAGATATTGCAATTAAGCTTTCACAAACATTCAGAGGGAGCTTAGATGCGAATGATGCAACCAGTGAATCAGAGCTTGATTTACGTCTTGGGGCAAAAAGGCAGGGACAAGCAAACCAGAATAAGAAGCTTGAACAGCTTTTGAATGATATGTGGACAAATATAGCTCAGCCAGTTATACAAGAGCTCAAACTTCAGGTAAGCATACTTGTAAGATTTCATTTAACTATACTGAGTACTTTCTATTAGAAAACCACAAATCCCCAACGGATTTGGTGGTGCCCTACAGGCAACTTCACATTTCTTCCTATACATGCTTCAGGCATTTATCATGGAGATAGACAGGAATGTCTGGCAGATTATGCAATTTCATCATATGCACCAACTCTAACAACATTGTTGGCTGAGCCTTCTCCCCCTATACTTCCATTTAAAGTTGCTGCAGTAATTGAACCCAATGCTCAGGGCAATGCTCCCTTACCAGGAACCAAGAAGGAGCTGAAGGCTATTGAACAGCACCTTCCTAGTTCTGTGATATCTATTCTTCAAAGCCCAAATCACAATGATGTTTTGAAAGCTCTGTCTCAGTCTGCAGTTGTTCATTTTGCCTGCCATGGTGTGCAAAATGCAGAAAATCCACTTGAAAGTGGACTTAAGCTCTCAGATGGGCAGCTAACTGTTAGACAGCTTATGCAGAACAATGAACACCAGGCAGCACAGGGGGATGCAATGTCTCTGGCATTTCTCAGTGCCTGTGAAACAGCAAAAGGAGATAAAACCACTCCAGATGAGGCTATGCATTTAGCTGGGTCTTTGTTATTTTCTGGATTTCATAGTATTGTTGCAACCCTATGGTACTGTTAACACTCACTATAATTGTTCTTCCTGACCTAATAAATTTCTAGGTCAATAAATGACATTGATGGCCCTCAAATTACTGATACATTCTATAAGTATTTGTTTAAGAAAGCTGATTTTACCAAGGAGCCTCCCATCTTACCTGACCTGCTGAAATCTGCTGAGGCACTGCACTATGCTGTTCTGAGATTGAGGGAAGAGAAGAAGGTGGATTTTATCCGTTGGGTACCATTTGTTCATTATGGTTTGTAAACATCCTACTGTATGATATATGAGAAGAGACTGGGGTGTCCTGACAAGGGTTTTTGTATGTATATTAAATATCGTTTTAAATACATCATGAGGCTTACAATATTCAATTTGATGCAATCCCAGGAATTTGTTACCATACTACTTACTTATATGGAAGCAGAGTGAATTCAGAATTCCAATGAGATTGGATTTCAGTGCTGATAATATACATTCATATCACTGTAGTAATTTATTCAATTTGGCAGTCACACATCACACTGGCCCTCCGACGCCGAAATATCTTGGCATGTCACGGGCCCACAGCCAGATGCCAAATGTCAAACAACCATCAGACCATGAAAAAGAATTTGGGGGGCCCTCCAGGCCACTAAATACGCTGAAAATTTTGGCAGTCACACACATTGACAGGAGGTGGTGAAAATTTAATTTTGGTGACAATGTCACACCTATTTGGCATGCTGAATTGAATAAGTTGCTCCAGTACCAGGACTATAATGTAATGATATCTGTCAAATTATGATGGTAATTGCTGAACCTAAGGTTTGGCCTTATAGAATCATTGGTGGTGGGCAGCGACGCAGTATTGATGTGAGCTGTCAGGCTCGCGTATCATCGCCTATCACGCGGCATCCCAGGGCCGAGCGCTGCTTGAATCGTCTGTAGCACACTTGTTTGGGTGGATCTGAAGCTATAAAATACACAAACACTATATACATAGTTAGCAAAAGTATTAAGCTAGAGTAATATGTAATAAAATACTATACTGTTATACCAAACCATCAGGCTCTTCCATCTCCTGGTCTTCTTGGTCCCAAAAGTCCTCATCCATGTCAGTATCCGACTCTGATAGTGCCCGAAGTGGCACGCCAAACAGACCCCCTGCTTCCTCGTCCTCTCTTAGCAGTGCCTCATGGAGAGGAAAGGCTGCCGCCAACGCTTCCTGCTTATCAATATGTAACGGAATATGGCTTACTTTTGGCATAAACATCCTTGGATTCTTTTTGTCTGTGTTCCATCTCCTGCGCATCTTCTCGAGCTGGTCGTCAAGTCGAGCTCTGGTCATCTCTGGGCGATAGATATCTTGCACAGACTTGATGAACGGTGTCGAATTCAGTTGCGCCGTAATCTCATCTTCCCGCGCGACCTTCTTTGCTTGGGTCTGTTGCTTCTCGACCACCATGGCTGCGTTGTACTCCTTCTGCATTGCTCGTCGTCGCCTCTCTAGCCCATCCTGGTCCAACTGTCGTGCTGCCGCAAGAATGTAATGGTGGTCTTCCTTGGTCAAGAAGTTCTGGGCAAATGCATCAACATTATTGCGCTGGGCCATTGCCAGCCCATTGAAGGTGTGTAACGCGCCTGTCGCGTTGTTGCGTGCCCATACAACATAGCTCCCAAGGGCACCCTCATTGTGGTCATTGGTAGCAGGCAGCCAAATGCGTGCCTTTTCATCCTCTGACAGGCCATCGATTATGCCACCTGGCGCGAACTCGGACGAAAATCGTATCCAGGTTGCCATCGCCCCTTCGAGAAATGTGACGAGCATTGCCTCAAGGTACGGGAGGGTGCCCATCTCAGACAACGCCTTGATCTGACTTAAGACCGTCAGGTTGGCAGGTTCACGACCATCGAAGGTTGCGAGCGGATACAGCTGCTCGTCAAAGTCAAGGATTAGGTCGGGATTTTCGATGAGGAGTTGGCAGTGGTCGCGAATGTCACGATGGAGAGGTCCAAGGTCAATTGCGTTGAGCGCAACATGACTGTCTTGTCGGACAATTCGCATATATGGAACGGTGATGAGTATATGGTACACTGCAAGAACAGCAAGTTCGGTGAGTGTTGGTGGGTCGTGCAGCCCATCATAGACATTTTTTTTCGATATTCGTCCACATCTGGCTGACTTTTAATGTCTTTATAGCATCGACAAACTGCCGATAGGTTTCGAGATGGGTCAACAGCTCCACCGCCGCATCGCCGTGACTGCCGAATCGTGTGTTGTTGGTCTGCGGGAAGCGCTTCACACGGTCAAGCTCCAGATGATACTCCAGGAATAGTTGGTGAGCATCTCCTTGGCCTCGTTTATCGATAGCATTATTGAAGATCGCCCCAGCGAGTGCAGTCAACTTTGCGCCGCCAAATGCAACATCTTCGAGTTTCTTCAAGTCTTCTGCAGTTACCTCCGCGTCGCCTCGTTCTGGATGGAGGATCTTGCGGATGGCCTTCGCATTCTCTTTATTTGCAAGCGGGATTGGGCCGTCAATGCCAAGAATCTTCCAGTGAGCGGTCATTGCTGTGTTACCGCCCTTAAAAGAGTTCTGATCCTTGTGCATGCAGCAACCCGTCCAGACCCAAACTGTCAATAGATGTCGTTCAGAGTCGTCCACCTCAGCCAGCTCTTGAACCCCAAGACTCTGTATCATCGCCGTCGTTGTCGCAAGATCTCGTGTCGCGCGATCACTTGCTGTCAACTTGTCCCATTTGCGTTGGCCACCTGCGTCTGCGATCTTCTTCTCTGTCCATTGACGCATCAACCCTTCAATTTCCTCAATCTGACCATCAAGTTCTCGTAGTCGCTTCTCCCCCATCTTGGACAGCAGCTCCTCGTACTTTGTTTTCTTCATTTCTTCCGACAGAGCCTTTTCATTATTTGCATGGTCGCCGCACATGCCTCGTAATCGCCGACACATCAGCCGAAGATTGAGAGCCCCGGTACGTTTTCCCAGTGGGCTAGCATTGTATGTTGACATCGTCTCGTTGTAGAGGTTCATCCATGCCGCATGGGATGTAGCAGTGCTATGATCAGTGGTCGAAAACACCCCTGCAAACCATTTCACCGGCTTATCTGAGAAGACTATGTTGCCTTCACCATCGGTTCCAAGTGCCGCCTTCATATGTAAGTGGTGTGCCTGGTAGTTCAGCTTTCGACGTGAAGTACTGTCGCTACTCATTGTGACGTCTGTGGGTGTGTCATTAGATAGTGCCCGCTTTCCGAAACTGATGTACCTTGGTTTTGCTGCAGTTCAAAACCCATTTGCATTCGTCCCATGACAAGTGATTCGAGTAAGATTCGGCCCACGGTTCGTCGGCTTAAAGCTCTATCGAGGTTGATCCCGAAGACCGCCGCCACTGATTGCACGACTTCACCAACCCATCCCTGTTTACAGCCACAGGAGATGAGAATCCGCATGATAGAGCGGATTTCTTCTTTTGTATGCACGTCCGACTTTCAGCTGGGTTTTTGCTCTCTCCTTCTCTGCCTTGGCCCCAGCACTGACCTGTTGCTTCAGCTCATCGTAGCGCTTTTCCCGGCCTTGAAGAGCCCAAATAGACTTCTTGAGGTACTGTATCTCCACCGCCTGATCATCACAGTGCTTCTCAGCCTCCGAAACACGGCCCCAAACCAGCTCAAGCTGCTTCTCTGCGGTTCTGAGTAGGTCTTGCATTGAGTCGGATTGTTGCTGAAAGACGGTCTCCAGAGTTGAGTACATCTCCTTGTGTGCTGCTTTCCGAGCTTCCTCCAGCTCTAGTGTTTGGGCTGCAATCAGTGTGTCTTTTCTCCCGCAGCTGCTTCAGTACATATAGCTGTATCTATGCAAAAGATATGGGCACTGTCCCAAGGCTCTAATGCAAAAGATGTTAAGACAGATGTATTTCATGAATTTCTCAGTGGAATCAAGAGATATGACTAATACAAAAATATATATAGTAAGAGAAATCACCTTTTCTTCAGGCTGATGAGTCGCAATATAATATTCGGGACTTATAAGCCCAGGGACCAAAAAATTAATAATCGATCAAGTAAGGTTGATGTAGCAAGATATAGTCATCAAAAGCTCTGATGGCAATCAAAAATCGTTCCACATTGATCAATATACTAATATGCCATTGATACCATCACTGATACCTTGATACAGCAGGCAAAAACAGTCAAAGAATATTATTTCATTTTATTCTTGGACAGTTGCCCTCATCTTTTGCATTACCCCCCTGGGACACTGCCCATATCTTTTGCATAGATACAGCTATATGAGCTGGCTGCTTGAGTAACTTCTTCTCTCGCAAAGCGCGTTGCTGAATGTCAAATGACAGGTGCTTGATTTTGACTCTTGCCGTCTTGCGGTCCCGTTCAAGACGGGAGATACGGTATGTTTTGGGTGTGATAGGACCCATAGCTGCCGTGGATGCTTTTGCGTTCGCAGCGGCCTTTGCAACGGCTGCTTTCCTACATGCTTCGCGTTTTCTCCGAGAGCAATTGCCAGGCTTAGCTCGGGTCATATTCCTGTATTCTATGTGTAAGGAGACCTATTTCTGCATGAAATAACCTTGCCTTTATCTGTATCAGACCTCGAGGGGCAGTAGAGTTATGTTATTTTGTCCGAGACGCGCGTCGCGACGCGGTCAGTCGCCTCGTGTGACACTCAATAACGCCAGTTTGGCAGGCACATCATTCATGTCCCATTTTCTCCCAATAGACTGCTTCTTTCGGCTCAATTCAATGACTGATCTATGATGATCTTTGGACCTGTAAGGGCAACCCTGGAGACTCCGACGAAAGCCTAGCAGGGGAGGATCCAAAGCGTGAATAAGAGCTACAGGAAATACACGGAGGGACCGACCTAGCAGGGGAGGATCCAAAGAGAAGAAACTCTAAGGGTCCGCCTGCTAGGGCGCCAACTATATACTGGTCGTCCGTAACTGCCGACGTAGAGCGCAGAAGGCCTGAGCGGCGTCGCAAGCCATGTCCCAAGGTGATCGTTGGGAGGGTGTTGACGGATCGGTGATTGTGCGGGCGAAGGAGGCCGTGGACGATGGTCGGGGCGGGTCGGAGCGTCCGAAGGGGCGCCGGTCGGATGCGCCTCGAATGCGTTCGGAGGGTCCGAAGGAGGCCGAAGCGGGGGTTCCCCTGACATCACCCCCCCCTCTGAATGCGGCGTCCCGACGCATAGTTTGAAAGGGCAAGGAGTCGAAGGTCGCTGAGGCGATGTGCCGTGGTTTACCTGGGTACCTCTGATAGAAGTCCGCAACTTTGTCTGGCGCAAAGACACGGTCGAACCGAACCCACGAGTCGTGCGAAGCGTCATAGCCTTTCCACCTGACGAAATAGTTAAGACGCTTATACCTTATCCTGGCATCCAAGATTTCCTCGACTTCCCATTCGGGGACTCCGTCCTCTAGTTCGGGGGGCGGTTCGTCATAGCCGGGTCGTCCATTGAAGGGGGTCGTCTTGAGCGAGCTCGAGCTTAACGACGGGGAAGACAGGGTGGAGCTTGGAGCAACGCGGGGGGAGGTCAAGCCTGTAGGCACCTTTGCTAACCTCTGCGAGCACCTTGAACGGCCCAAGGCGCTTGTGGGAGAACTTCTCGGAGGGCCGAGTCGTTCTGATGTCAGAGGCATCTAACCAAACCTTATCACCAACTTGAATATTCGGAGCGTCCGATCGTTTCCGATCGTAGTACCGTTTATACTCGTCTTTGGCTTTAACGAGCGCGGCCTTTGCCTCGGAGACGCTGTTCGCTATCCGATCGCGAAACTTCGTTCACTGACTCCAACTCTGAGCGGACGCCCGGCTCGAAACCCATTCGGGGAAGCCGACCGGTGTCCGTCATAAAGGGTACCTGTTGAGTGGAGGAGTGAACGTGGTTGTTATAGGCGAACTCAGCGGCAGGGATAAGCTTGTCCCAGTCGTCTTGTTGGTAGTTGGTGAAGATCCGGATGTACTGCTCGAGCTCCTGGTTAACGCGTTCGGTCTGTCCGTCGGTCTGCGGGTGGTAAGCCGTAGAGGTAGCCGGCTTGACGCCAATTAAGCGCCAGAGTTCGCGCGTAAAGTCAGCGATGAACTGTGAGCCACGGTCCGAAATGTACTTCTCGGGGGTTCCGTGATGCCTCCAGACGTTCCGATAGTACAAGCGGGCAGCTCCGACCGCGTCTATTGTCGTATGGCACTCGGTGAAGTGAGCGCGCTTCCCAAGGGCGTCGACCACTACCATAACCGCGTCATACCCATGGGCCTCGGGGAGCTCGACGATGAAGTCCACAGTGACGGTGTGCCAGCGCTCCGGGGGGACTTCGGTCGGATGTAGCTCTCCATGCGGAAGTCTTCGGAGGGCCTTCGTACGACAGCATAAGTCACAGGTCGCGACGTAGCGTCCGATATGGCGAGACATCTGCGGCCACCAGTAGTTGCGCGAAACCAACTCCAGGGTTTTGAATCGCCCGGCATGTCCGGCGACACGCTGATGAGGGTGGATGACGGGTGGGGAGACCGGAGATGAGACCGACACTACACAACTAAAACTCAACAACAAAACAACAAATAGTCGTTCTGTCTGAGCGATAACCGTATAACACCGTTCCAAACGTCCAACAACCACCAATAACCGTCTCCTAATACGAGTGCAGAACCCTGGGAACAGAGCCTGTACACGGGTGTGCAAGGTTGTAGGGTAGATCGAATGAAATCTTGTTAAAGATTTGTTTTGTGGTTGTCCTTAAGCGTACTATCGACGAAATCCAGCAATAGGAAAGCGCCAATACGATGCCCAGAACCGTTTATACTCGTTTGGATCAGGAACTAACTGCCTTAAACCCAAGGAGTCGTCTCAAGTCAGGAACTAACTGCCTTAAACTCTCGACCGCCAACCGAAACCAAGTGTACGCCAACCGAAACTCTCTTATACGGCAACCGGAACCCTCAACTCTTTGATCACAACGCCTTTTTACTTGAATAAAAGAGCTAGCAGGATGATATTGACAAGCTAGATCCCCAGATGCACCTAGTAACGGGGCAATCCGTGAATCGCTCAAATACAGGACAGAGATATAAATACTAAAACAGAAAATGATAAGATCAGGTAAATCGCCACAACAGAATGATGGTCCATGTGCATAATTTGTAAGGTATCGTTTCGCCATAAGGCCCAGAGTCGAAAATCCAGGTCTAGATGACCGGTAGGCGTGTTTGGTGTCAATGACCTTTGTAAATCCTCCTTTATTGCGACCGTCTATGCGTTTTTGTGAACGGTCCGCTAACCGTTGTTGTTATCGTCGTGTTGCTCCACTTCCTAGCTTTCCATCGATATCCATGACTTGAGGTTAACCGCCAGACACCGTTAGGCAAATCTCTTAACGAGATAATCGCAATCTGTTGTCGAGTTGTTCGGTTGGACGGTTGCGGGTTAAGGTCGCCAGCGATCTGCAGCCAAGCCCTCGTTTCCACTGAGTCATGCCTCCCGTTTAACCGCACCTCCACATGTCCTTATCCTTGCGTAAGTTCCCAAACCGCGTTCCAATGCTGTCAGGGACTGATCCGTTCAAGCCTGGTTGAACCTTCGTCGGAGCGTTCTGAGTTCGAGTCCCAGCGCGTACCAGACCGAATATGCCTTTTAGTTTACACTCCCTTTTGGTATATATATAAAGGATTGGATGGATCCTCTATGTTGGTTGGGCTCTGCTGTTGTTTTGGTTGTTGTAAGAGTCGTTCTGAACGGCCAGTTGCTATCAACAACGGTCGAGTCGAAACGCCTCCTCGCAGATATCTCCCTAACTGGCCATTCGGGACTCATGCCAGTTCCTAGACGTGCGCTGTACCCATGAAACGAATGAAAACGGTGGTTTTCTATGTGTGATCCAAAATGCGGCTTATCATCTCCCCCATTTTTAAATCCCGACTGTCCCCAGTCGCTTTGGCAATACTCGCGTCCGGCTACATCGCTTGTTCCCTCTAGCCCATCACTCTCCTCTGTTCTGTTGTTCGGAACGGGAACTGTTTCGTTCTCGTAACGGAACCTTCTCACGTCACAACCTCATGCCTGCCAAGCAAAGGCGTTTCCGCAGATCCTTGATCCTCGCTCGAACAATGAATTGCTTCCGTTTAGTCTCACAGTGGCTCGACCCTACGTGTCCGGGGAACCATCACTTTCCAATCGTCTTTTCCAAACAACGTCGACACGACTGAATAGAGCTCGTGTTTTCCGCGGCAGTGTCCTTGAGCTAATTTTTCCAAAGTCCGGTTCGGCATTCAAAATTAAGCTTCAGAAGCTTCATTACAGTCACGTTTTCTTCCTCAGCGTTCTTTTTCTTCAACTGCGCGTCGACCATATAAGGTGGCCCGTGGTTTTTCTGCTCCTTTAATTTTCTTTCTTCCTCTATGGCATCTCGTCGCCCTCCCCCTCGTAAACTCACTACCGCTCCCAAGAAGACTGAGGTTTCGACCCCTGGCCCTTCCTCCTCCGACCCTGACTTGGTATATCCGGACTCCAACAACCCCTTGTGGGCGGCTTTCGCCGACCCCCGAAGGCGCTCTTTTTCTGCGTTATCTTCGACACGCTACTAGCGACGACCCCCGCGTTTTCCGTAAGGATGTGATTCCGAAGGAAGACATGGCCAACGCCTTCGACAAAACCCTTTTCCACTTCGTATGTTGAACTCTCCCTCCTTATGATCA